TGAAAAAATAATTATAAAAATAGTTAAAAGAATAAAACAGTAAAAAAATTTTTGTGTTAAAAGTGTCAATTTTTCTGCACTTTTAACAAAAAAGTAAAAATTGTTATATACTTTTAACCATTTTTATACTTAATTTTTTTCAAATTTATGTTAAAAATTTTTTCAAAATAAGAATCAGCATCATCATTTTGTATGGTCTGCAACTAAAGAGGGTCTAGACTCAAAATTTATCTTGCAGAATGACTATCTAAAAGATTTGATTTGTATATATAAATGAAGTGCATTCCTGTATGATAAGTCCTTGAATTATCAATGTAATATATTATTTAGAAACAAAACAAAATAGTGTTTTTGATTTAATAAAGGAATGAGAATCTGTTTCTGGAGACCCAGTAAAACAGTAAAATTTAGAATAATGAAGTGGGGAAAAAGTTTCTATATTGGTTCCACAATTAAAATGTAAAATACTGTAATAGAGAACACTAGGAAGGAAAAGTTAAGAATAAGTTTAGCTAAGAAAGCTTCTAATAAAACTTAAATGTAAAGTGGAATGAGACTATTAATATATAATAAGAATGTTTGAACAAATTTGAGAATAATGAAACAATTGTGTATTTTTACAGTAAACTTAGATTACAGATATTTAATAAGAATGCAGACAAAATGTCATATATTTGTAAAGTACTGATTAGAAAACAGACAGGAAAAGGAAGAGAGAGAGAGAGAGATAAAGATGTAGTAGTTTTAATTTTAAAACTAAATAGTCCAGCATTTAAACTGTTTGTAAACAGGACTTTGTATTTTTTTTAATATTTTTTGAAACATTTTTAAAAATTGTTTTTAGAATGAAAGATTTAATAGAATGTTTAAAAATTTAATATTTCAAATGTATTTATCAATATATTTATTTGATTTTTGAAGATGGAAAAAAATTTACCAAAAACATATCAGTAGAATAAAATAATTGGTAAGCAGTTAAAACTCACTGTGTTCGGTGTTATTAATCATTTTTCCTTCTTTAAAAATGATTTATAACGCTGAACACAGTGAGTTTTAACTGCTTATCAATATTACTTGGCGTGAATAACATACTAGTCTATATTAAAATAATTGGTTCCTTAAATAAGGCTATGCTGATGATGATTGAATGGTACAGTGTAATTATTAACTGTTTAAAGGGGTGTAGAAATTATATTGTATATTGCATTTAATTATATAAATAAATTCATTTTTGTATGTAATTGGAAATTTTATTATTAATGCAGTAAAAACAAAGAATTTTTGATAATATTACTAGTGATGAGATGATACCAAAATATCTCCCAATTCCTGATTTTGATTCTGCTGAAAACTCCTAATTTTGATTCTTTTGAATACTTTCTAAAGTTTATTTTAGTTTAGAACATTAATGATTTACATTATAAGCATGGTATATTCATTAATTAATACATAAAGCTTAAGAATGAAAAATGATTGGGAAAGCCAGAATCAATCTTTCAAAACAAACCTAAAAATTCTCCATTTATATGTGAATATGCATGCTTTTCTTGAGTATTATAAATGTATTTGCAATTTTATTTCACATAAAGTTAATATTGCAATACTATCCCCAATGAAATTACAGCTAATTCCCTTTTACTGAATGAACTATCCCATCATGTCATATAGGTTTGTCATCTTCAGAAACTGCTTTGTTGGCCTACACAATGACCAGGCAAAGTGGGAAGGTAAATGAAAATATGCACTTCTATTTTTTTGTGCTTCTCACACTTAGCATGCCTTGTAAATGCTTTAATTCCATCATATTTAACACTAAGTGAGGTTTGGAAAATGATGCAATGAGTTGAATAAATATCATCATCATGAGTTAACCAATTTTTGAATTCATTCCTTGAGCCATGAATGTCTAGACTGGCTCATTTTGAAAAATCAATTTTAAAACTCAAAACTTCAGCAGACTTATAGAGCAACCATATATTTGTACTTAAATCGTGCAAATTGCATTTGAAAATTTAATGTACTACAGCATCATCTGTGAATCATAACAAAAACTTTCATAATTATAATGAGAAAGTCATTTTATCATTATAAGTAAACATACTAAATAATAAAAATAACTTTATATAATATTTTTTTGATTAAAATATAATTTTGTTTATATTTTATACTGTTTTTCTGACACTTAAATATTTTTGCTGACTGCTGGCCTTGATTTGAAATTGCCAGTCAAGCTGGCCCAATGTCAGCCATATGGCAATTCTGATGACACCCTATCTCCCCTATAATGGGAACAGTTAATACTGATCAAGTGCAATCTGTCAATGCTCTGACTACATAAAAGAAAAATCTGCCATGACAGACATTGCTTCATGGGGCATCTCATACTCTTTCTCAACATGAAACTTTCCAATAAACTAATAATTAATTGTTCATTTCATAATTAAAAAAAAATTTAATCTTCAATTGAAACAAACAATTAATTTTCTTATTAAATGCCAAAGAATTGTTTTAAGATTTGGAAATTGTGACAAGATTTGCTCAATTCTGATTACCAGAAAATGCCCAATTTTTCCAATTCCTGATTCATCATCCCATCACTAAATATTACTTACATCTCTGAAATATTGGAATTACAGTAGAGCATTGATTATCCGAATATTGATCAACCGAAAGCTTTCCAGTTGGCAAATTTAAATTTCCACTAGTGCTTTGGCACTGCAATCTTTGGCTATGTCTTGGGCTACTCCAATATTGTTTTTGTTGGTGTGTGTGTTTTAGCTGGCAGCACTGGCACAACCATGAGAGGGTACTTAAGGACATGCCAGGATTTGAACGAATTTCAACATGGGATAGGTTAATATATTTTTTCGTACATAATCAGTTATCCAAAAAATCAATTTTCTGAACAACCCAAGTCCCCAATTGATTTGGATAATTGATGCTCTACTGTATTTCATTTCTATTGTTTCTCTTATATAAATTTGTTTTAGATATCTTCTTTTACAGTGGTAAAAAGACTTACAGCCATAGATTCAAACTATCTCTAAAAACTCATATGAGCCATGCAAGGAGAGGGTCAGAAATGTATTTCACAGATTTTGATGAGCTTTTTCTTGGTTATTCTGGGATACTAAAAAACATTTCCTGTAAAGCCCTAGGTTTCACTTTTGCATTTTATTCAAGAAAATCATGATTCTATTGGGTTGTTGAAAAAGTTTCTAGAATTTTCTAGACCTTTCTAAAATATTTGAAATTGTTTTCTGACAGATGACAGCTAGTCTAGAAGTTTCTTATGGGATATGTAAATGAAGATTATTGAGGTGCACAATTGTAAGTAAAATGATATTATGTATGCTAAAACCAGAAGTATATCAGAGCAAGGTTGTGCTGTGTATCTGATGGAATGTTTGCTGACCTGCCCATTTGGAAATGCTTCAATGAAATACCACTATAACTTTTGAAATCTACTCCCTCAGTTGCAACATTTGGCTGATGTTCTCCACACTAAGTGGCTACAGCTAAATGTTGTGCACTTTCTTCATGACAATGCAAAACAATATGGGTCAAGAGTGACCTGGCAGAAGCTGCTTGATCTTGGCTGGGTGGTTCTCCCTCATCCACCATATAGCCCAGACATTGTACCATCTGCCTACCATCTCTTCCGTGCAACACTTCTTGGAAAGCAGTTCGTCAATGATGAAAAGATGGAAATCACACTTGGAGTTCTCCTAATCAAAACAGCATGAGTTTTATTCAGCAGGAATCAATGAAAGAAGAGGCCTGAATGTAATGGCAATTATTTTATTGAATAAACTATTTTTTGTTTTTAAAATAAATGTGTACTATAAAACTCCAGAAATTTTTGCATCAACATAATACATCACAATGACTGATTGCTTTTAGACCCAGGAAATTGGTAGATATTGAAAAAACAAGCAATTTTCATCTACATTAATGATATTTAGGTGCTTTTTTTAAAATGTAAATGAAACATTGCTCCAGAATTTTTTATTCTTAATGTCATACTAGCTTCTAAGCACTACAGGTTATTTCCAACATACTTCTACATCTTTTTCTAGGCCAATGGAATTAAAATCATGCTGTTTGNTTCAATTGAAATCACCTTTCTGTATTTTTAGAAGCCATGATTTGCACAACACTTGAATAAATGTAAATACCCTGCACTGAGGTGATGTACAGTATTTAATAAACAAGAGAGCAAGCCAAATCCCAACGGGAGCTCTGTACTTCAGATATATTAATTAATAATATATTCTAATAATACTAATATATTATAAAAATAGTAGATTGTCATTGGCAACAGCAAAAGAGTGGAAACATCATTTGCAACTTGTTCACAGAAATGTTGTTCGCCTAACATAACTGCCGAACAGAAAGTCCATTGTTCGCAGCCAGTCCGTTGCTCGAATCATGTAATGGACAAACAGAAAGTCTGTTGTTTGCAGCATCTGTACGTTATACGAGGCATCACTGTATTGTCAAACTTTTATATTTAATTTTTTTTATTATATATGTTTAAACCTCTATTCCAGCATTTAATGTAACATCTATGTAATACTTTATTAGAGGATAATTTTGATTTTACATAAACATCTAACTCAGTGCTGAATCATTCTTGTGCACCAATATCTTTTATTGTATTTTATTCTTTGCATTGAAATATATTTGAGTGGTTGGACTCATTATTGTTTCTGATGTATTAACTATCAATCATTATTTAATGTTATAAACTTTTTAATTTACATTAATGTAAAAAATAATAAATGATAAAATAATCATTGATTAAAAATTGTATGCAGTATATTATAATTATAATTATGCTTTTTATATATGATTATTTTTAATTTTTATCACAGACAATTTAATAGTTAAATGCAAATGTTTTTAAAAAGATTAATTACTGAAAATATATTCATATGCATATTTTATTTATTTATTTATATATTTGTTTATTTAAACATTGTTTTTTCATAGAAATAGTTAATAATATACCTGACAATTTAACTACACGAAATCATCCAATGAATATTACAAATCAAGCTTCCATTTGCTTCAGTACTTCTAATACATTGACAAATCTTCATGGAACTGCTACAAGTATTCAACCTCTTGGAACTAAAGTAAGTGAAGTCCTGTGTATTATACTTGTACAGTTATCCTTTGATTAATGCAATTAATTGATTCCTTGATGCTACCATGTATATCAAAATCATGTTAATTAAACAACTCCTCTTTCAACTCAATTACTAGTTGTGGGGCAGATAAGTATCAATTTTTTCTTAATATTTGAATGATAGCTCCATCACAGGTGCTAGTGGTCTTCTGTTTTTGGCCATGCTTAGCCAAATTAATGACTGAACCAGCATTTTATTTTTTAACACTGGAGAAAATAGTTAAACATAAAATTCCCATCAATTTTTTAATATACAGTAAGAATGTCTGATTGAATGAAGATCAATGACTAAGTTTTATTGGTCAATGCTAATGTGATTTTTTAATTTGTATTCTAGAGCAGAAATTAAATCTGTGAAAAATCATAATTTTACATATAAAAAAAATATAATTAACTTAAGATTTATTTAAGTGAATTTTTTTTATTATCTGAATGGGAAGTTACCAATTAATTCTTTTGTACTCAAATTTGTGACAATATAAACTTTTAACAAGCCTTAAAACTTATTGCTAACACCAATATGAAACAACAATACCTGAAATTGACTAGTTCTATAAGCAGATGTAAAAGTCATAAAAGCACATACATGATGATGTAAGAATTTCTGCAAATTTACATTAAGTTTAGTAGACATATGCAATTTTACCAGTGTCTGATTTTTTTTCATCCACTGTATATTAATGGAAAAATTAAAATTGTAAATTTGAAGAAAAAAAATTTAAATTTGTTGAAACTTCAAATTTACAATTTTTTCCCCACTGACTAAACTCTATTTTTAATGTTGTTACATTATACATGTAACTTTATTTGTGTATGTGTAAAATTAAATTGTATGTAATATAATTAATATGTAAAAAATGTATAATTAAATATAAATTGAAAATAATAATTAATATATTTAACTCTTATAATATCTATTTAAATTTTTTATATTAGGTTGAAATGGTATATTCATTGTTATCAATGTTGGGAACTCATGGTAAAGATGATATGAGTTTGAAGTTGTTGGAATTATCTAGTTCTGTAGAATGTTGTATAGCAATGAGACAATCAGGTGAGATTTTATAAATAAATTACTGTGTTGAAATAGCTAATTTAAAGTTTTTTTTTAGTTTATAAATTATTACAAAATTTTATAATTGAAAAATATTGTTATTGAACTAAATTTTAGTTTTTCATATTCTACTTCCTATAAAACTGAAAAGTAGCAGTGGTTTCTAGTGATTATTATCAGTCTAATCAGTTTTAAAACATTATACATTATAAAGTCATCAATAAATCAATTTTCAATTAATTGTTACAAATTTTGTAACAATTAATTGAAAATTAATTATTACAAATTATTGAAATATATATATAACCAGGGTGGCCAAGCTCCTTGATAGTCCGAGCCATTTTTCAAAATTGAAATTTTTCGCGAGCTGCAATTAAATACGTATTAAAAAGGTATGTAAAAAATTCCAGATTACAAATTATCCGTAGCAAGAGTGATACAAATTGTTTCCTCCAGAGCACAATGTCAACTGTCCATTGCAATGACAGTTTACAAATTCAAAATCGGTCTGGAGTCGGTGGATAACGGACGATTACGCCACTGTTTATGTTCGTTCGCGCAGTTTTCGATGAGTCATTCTTAACTTGGACGGAAATGAAATTTGTTACAACGTTGCATTTAGTCTTTCATATTTGTTGTTAGTAATTTAAAAGACATTTTGAAACACATACGGAACGATACTAATTTTTAAAATATAATAACACAAAAAATGAAAAGGGAACTCGGGTACATTTATCGAGAGCCACAAATAATCCTTCAAAGAGCCGCATGTGGCTCGCGAGCCGCAGGTTGGCCACCCCTG